ACTGGTCAAGGACATTGTACCTGAAGCTTTCGTCGTTTCTTTTAAGGTACTTTTTCCCTCTTTTCCGTGCGCTTTTTTTCTAAACAAATTGCTGACGCGATTAGAGCAGTAGTAAATCGTCGTAAATTTTGAATGGTAAGCAGACTGCACAGTAGTTCTTGAGATCTCCCCCGCCCCTCTCATACAGCAAAATACTTCCTGTTACAAAAATTACTGTTAAGATTGTAGGCCAAATTATCTGTTTTAAGTTCACAAAAATTGCTACAGATGGACTGTTCAGGAACTCTAAATAAAAATGACCAGACGCTGGTATCCCTCTTTACGAAAGTCGGAAAATCAATATCCATACTCTGCGAGAGGAGGAATTACTGGGAAGCTCAAGTAAAAATCGTGCTTGGCAGCGATTTTATTTCCCTAGCTTGTGTTAGTATCAATTTACTATGTGACCACACGGCAGTTCCATGTTTTGCACGAAAAATCACTACGGTTTATCGTCTCGGGCGCTTTGTGTTAACTATATTTACAACCCGAGTTAAGGTGTTGCTGGAAACATCAGAAACTGTGAGTCAACAGCCTAATTGCTTATTTCAGCTTGAGACTGATGAATCAATGCTGATTGTGAAGTCACGTCAAGCGCTGGAGACATACGGACATCAGGTGAGTTACGAGTTAATAATTAGGAATAAACAACGGCGCATACCGTCCAGTGGACGTTTTCCTGTTGAGAACATTCATTGTTCAATACATTAGTGTTATCTGATTCCTGAGCTTTTGTTACATAGCACAAAACGCATAAAAAGTCAGGTTCAAAATCCCCTTATATCTTTATTCCTGATAGAAAGCAAAATTGTCCAGGAATGGATCGAATGACATGAAAGCGTGCAGCTCAAGGTCGATCGACCTGGTATAGATGAGTCCGTAGTAAAACCACTGACGCACAATACCCGTACCGTCTGTCCAGGCGGTCTTGGTATTTACTTGCTAGTACCTCTGTCAACGGTTTTATCTTTGGCGTTTGCTTTAAAAACAAGCCGAATCAGTTCCACCTGGAAATTTTATTGAGGAAAAATGAATTCCGCTTTCAGCTAGTGATTGGTAATATTTTAATGACAAGAAAGGAGCGGGTTGTGTTTGTCACTCAGGCCAGTAAGGAAGAAATGCGCCTCAGCGACCAACAAAAAGCTGACGGAATTGAACTTGAACAGCTCATTGTTGATAAACTTGTTGTTATGCATAGTAATTTATTATTGTGTAATGGCGACTCGAAAAATCTTTAATAATAGTTCACAAGTACAACAGTAGTGAAAGAGAAGGAAAGGATATTGCTTCAATATCAGTGAGGAGGGGGGGGGGACTGCTGCAGTAAGGAGAGTCACTAACACTAATGTTGTTTATTGATGGCTTCTTGTTTTACACTGTTTGGCCAGTGTATTTTCCAGTCATAGTTTTATTGTTGGATGCATGATCTATCTCCCATATTTCCCTCACTGGCTCAAAAATGCTATTCTTTGTGCTGTTGGGCAAGTTGATTCTATAGCCCCACACCATTTTCAACTTTGAAGGTTTTTATTATCACAAAAATCTGTGCTGACAGAGAGGAACGGTTTGACAAATGCGCGTTCTGCCCTTCAAATAGATGCGATGCACTACCTCCGGGCATTTTCTTGAACGCGAGCTTTGGCCCCAAGAAAAATAAGTAAAATTTCAAAAAAAATGGGCTAATTTCACTTTAAATTCACTTTACATTTTCGTTGAAATTTGTAAATGTTGCAAGGGGTTCTGGTATAAATTATAAATGAAAAAGACCTGGAACACAATAACATTTGCTGAAGTTGCTCTCCCAAATGTTTTTAAGTCCAGACACTCTAAAGATGCCTGAGAATGTTTCTAAAAAATTAGTCATATTGCGAGATTTACAGTTAACAGAAAGACGAGAAATCGGTTGCTTTCTGGTGCCAAAACGAGTACTGCGTGTCAAGTGCGTTGAAATAGACTGGTACTGGATATATGGTCCAGATCAGACACTGATGATGGGAATTAGCACAACACAAAACGGTATGCGAAAAGCGGGAAGTATGATCAGCCGGTAAAGTATCTTACTGCCTAAAAGTATCAACTTTCGGGACGAAACGCTGATGACCCAGGACTGCTGAAGCCTTGCTAGGTGCTTTCCCCAGTAGGCCTTTGAGCTAATGTGATCCCCTCGGTAGAAACAACGTCAGGATTGCTGTTCGGATTACTATTATGTGGTGCGGCACTGGTCAAGGTCAGAACCCCCTCCACATTCGTTCTGCTTGCGAGGCAGAAGCATCAAGGAGTACCTCAAAAGTAGCAAAAGTTGCAAGTCGCGCGGATGCAGAAATAGCTTTTCCAGGTGCTTCAGGCAGTCGCAGTGGAGTGTAAAACACCCCTTACCACTACACCAAGTCCACAGCATAGCAGTGTAGCTGAGACGCAATCAGAGGCTAAGCATTTTTTTCGTTAAGCTACAGACCCTACTGAGCACCTTACTCTCCTCCCCTATCCGCGTCTTGTTCAATAGTTAAGCGAGGGTTACAGAAGAGGAATTCCAGGCTTTTCTGTGCTTGGGTTCCTGACCTCCAGTCAAAATTAAGGCTGATCTGAAAGAGGACGAAGAATACACATTACCTTATGTAAAGGACAGAAGGCGGAAGCAAGGAAGGAGGCGGCTGAATGTGAAATCACCAAGGATTCTTCTGCTCTGTCCGGTGATTGATATACGATGAAGATTGCAGGCACGGACTTGATCAAACGGCAGTTGCAGCATTCTGAAATCGAATTGAACGAGGAAAAAGTGTTGAATTAGATAAATGCGAGCTATTAGCGACACATTTGAATATAGTATTCATGTTAATCAATAGGGTCCGGGAGGAAATTAGCGTTGAGCAACAACAAACTCAGTTTATCCAAATCAAACACAACTGCTCAGATTGGAAGAAAAATCCTACTGCTGAGAACTCTGAGTTTTGAAGCATGCAAAAATACATCCGTCAAATTTAATGCCAAAAAAAATGCTGTCTTATACCACACCAC